TTTCCTGGAATAAACAAATTTAGTAACAATTTCTCTTACTTAAATGAAAAGCTGTAGCCCACATTGCTCAGGGGCTTGTGCTTGCAAAGTGTTTTACACACTTCAACTGAACCGCACAACCCCATGAGGGGTTGGGTGGGTACGAATATCATTATTCCCAATTTTACAGATGAAGAAACGGAGGCTAAGGGGGAGGGAGCTAAGAGATTTATTTATCTTAGGTAAAACAGTTGAATGAATATTCAACATTCAGCAAGCATTTATGAAGCCCCTACTATGCATCAAGGCGTTTGCTAGGTGGCACAGTAGATGCAGCATTAGACCTGGAGTTAGGAAAACCTGAGTTCAAATCAGGTCTCAACACGAGCTGTGTGACCCTGGACAAGTCACTTAACCCTGTTTGCCTCAGTTTTCTCATCTGTAAAATGAGCTGGAGAAGGAAATGGAAAAAATCCAGTATGTTTGCCAAGAAAACCTGAAATGGGGTCAGACATGACTGAAAATGACTCAACAACTATGCATCCATCAGGCACTGAGTTTGGACATCTACTTATGGATGTGGGCATTTTATTCCTGGCACAAAAATGAACATGTAGTACACTTAAAAGCAAGTAACTTTGGTGAGAAAAGTGTCAATGCTTAAAAGTGGAACAATGGAACCAGCTGGATAGACATTGTCTAAAGACACAATAATGCCAGTGCCTTCTCTGTCAAACTGTAGGGTGTAGATAATGAAAAATTGGGGGACACAGGATTAATACTTATCTGTTAAACTGAAATATTTTCATTTTGTTGTTCTCTAAAGGTCCCAAAGCAGGTTTTGAAAACGAGAAAGTTTGCACACAAAATTCTGTTTAATGCAGTTAAACGTTTTATTATCTAAGTAGCCCACATCATGATTAGCCATTTTAATTAATATTAAATTTCATTAAACTTTCTAAGTCATTTTATTTATATATAACTGGCTAGATAGTGGCATTAACATTTAGTAAACTCTTATTTAAAGGTGCTGTCCAGTGTAAAAGGTGTGTGAATTCCTTAATAGGATATTTTTAAGCCTGTAGCATTACAGAGATGTGTTGCAAAGATCATATTTACATATTTAATTTTTAAAAAATAATTTCTTACTTTAATGTGGCATGCACAATATTTTAAGGCTGGATGGCATGGAAATCCTAATTTCCCTGTTTTAAGCTCTTCAATACTGTGTTTTTAAAACTACCCAACTGTTCAAATCAGTCAAACCTACTGCAACAAATAAACGGGGGGAAATCTCTGTATAATAAAGGCCCTGGCCCCAAGTCCAGAAATTGAAGATATCTGGCATAATAAAATTGTAGAACAAAAGAATCTGAATCATTTTGAGGGTTTGCTGTAAAGGAATGTCCTAAGAAAACAGCTTCTGCAATTCCTTAAATGTTGGGAATCAACTCTTCAAAACCACGTTTATATTTCGGGGAGTTGTGATCAGTGTATGTGGCTGTGCCTTCCAGGAGAAACCTGGAAGCAGTGGAAAGCAGATGCAATATTCTATTCCCCACCTCTGGCTGGCCCACTTGCCAATGGATAATAGCTGTTTGCCTTCCCCCTACTCCCCTTCTCCCCCTCCCTGCCCTCCTTCCTCCTTCCTCTTTCCCCCCTCCAGCTTGAAGACTATTTTTACCTAAAAGCCTTTACTTGCCATTGAAAGGTTTCTCAAGTTAAAAAAACTGGATTTCACAACATGATGATGATCAATAAGAATCTCAAGAGCACTGGAATTCAAAGTTAGTTGTTTTTTATTACACTGGAAGAGAGTGCCCTGATTCTAACCCTATGCTACCCAAATGGTGATTCATGTTCAGTCTCTTCTTCTTTGTGCCAGTGGTGAGCTGTTAGCACATCTCCTGCCCTTGGAGCTCTACATGAAGTGGCTCTGTGGGGGGGGGGGGGGAGACAGGGAAAGGGAAGAGAGAGGGAGAGATGGAGGGAGAATGGGAGAGGGGAAGAGAGGGAGGGAGGGGGAGAGAGAGAGAGAGAAAGAAGGAGGAGGAGGAGAGACAGAAAGGGAGAGATACAAAAAGTAAGTCATTTTGACTCATTTCTTATGGTTTGAAGTTAACCAATCACTACCATTTTTTCTTTTCACAAACTCCAAATATCTGCTCCTCAGGTCTCAACAGTGTTTAACACCAGAGGAGACAGAAAGATCAGGTGGAAAATGCCTCTAGATTGAAAAGATCTGGGTTCCTGGCTGGGCTCTATTACTTATAATGTGACATTAAGCAAGTCAAGGTCATTTTCCCTCTTGGGACCTCGATTTCCTCATCTGTAAAACCAGAGGTCAGACTAGATGATCTCAAAAGAGCCCTTCCAGTTCCAAATCTATGACTGTATGAACTTTACATCACTATGGACATCACACCTGAGCAAAATTGTGCTGATAATAATTACTCAGCAAAACAGAAAACAGCTTAAACTAGACAGCTGAGTGCATACAGTACCAGGCTCAGTATCAGGAAGAACTAAGATCAAATTCTGGGTCAGATAATTACTAGCTATGTGACCCTGGGCAAGTGATTTAACCTCCCTCAGCCTTAGTTTTCTCATCTGTAAAATTGGAAGAGAGGGAGGGAATAAGTATTTACATGGTTTCCAGGTACTGGGCTTTACAAACATTACTTCATCTCATCCTCACAACAGCCCTGGGAGGTAGGGGCTACTATTGCCCCCATTTGGCAGTTGAAGCAGACACAGCTAGGAAGTGCCTAAGGCTGCATTTGAACTTAGGTCCTCCTGACTTCAGGCCCTGCACTCTATTCCCTGCGGGTTAATAACAGCACCTAACCATCACCACCACCACCACTGCCGCCGCCGCCGCCGCCGCCGCCAAAGCCGCCACCGCCACCACCACCACCAGCATCATCGTTATTATTATTAAATTAGACAAAGTTCTTAGATGTTTTCCTGCTTAAATCACTTACTAGCAAGACTACTTCCTTGAAGATGTATTACTCCAAGAAATTGTGAAGTTAGGGCATTCCCAAACCCAACCTTTCCCCAAAGCTTCCCTTTCAGAAAGCTTGTGGACAAGACTAGGCATGTCTCTGCTGAGAGAAACTTAAATATTTCACTTTTGGAGGATGTCTCATAGAAAAGATGAAAATGAAAGAAAGTGCAAGAACCAATGAAAAGGTCCAGGTAGGTGCAGGGAAGAGGAAGAACAGTGGAGAGGGAGCAGACTACTTTCAATTACAGATGACTAGTGTTGGACCCTTTCTTTCACCACTGTCTTCTTTATAAATGGGGAAATGAGAGAGAGAGGAACAAGTAAAAGAGAAGATGACGGAAAGAAATAAAAGAATTAACAATCACAACAGTAAACATGAATAGGATGAGTTCTCCCATAAGATGGAGAAGGGTAGCAGAGTGGATTAGAAAGCAGAATGTGTTGTTTACAAGAAACACACTTGAAACAAAAAGATTCACACAGAATTAAAATGAGAGGCTGGAGCGGAATTTATTGTCTCAGGCAAATTTTAAAAAATTGAGGAGCAGCAATCATGATCTTAGACAAAGCAACAGGAAAAATAGATATGGTTAAATGAGATAAGCAGGGAAACTACATTATGCTTAAAGGCACCATAGATATTAAAATACATCAATACCTAATATATATGTACCAAATGGTATAGCATCAAAATACTTAAAGGGAAAATTAATCAAGTTACCGGGAGAAATAGAGAGCAAATAGATAGTTGGAGACTTCAATGTGCCCCTTCCAGAGCAAAAAAAAACCAACAACAAAATCTTTTAAAAAACAACAACAACAACAACAACAATAAACAAAAGGAAGTTAAGGACCAGAATAGTTAGACATGAAAAACCTCTGGTGATTGCTGAAGGGGAACATAAAGGAACATACATATTTCTCCACTATGCATGACACCTATATAAAAACCAGCTGTATTCTATGGCATAAAAATCTCGTAACAATGTAGACAAACAGAAATAATAGACATCTTTTACTGATCAAGATGGAATAAAAATTATAATCATTCAAGGACATTTGAAAGAAAAGAATGGAGACTAATAATTTACTCCTAAAGAATTGGTGGATCAAAGAACAAATCACTGAAATGATAGATAACTTAATCAAAGGAAATGACAACAATTAGACAACATAACAAAACTTTTGTGAAAGAGACAAAGTAGTCCTAAGGGGAAAATCTGTATCACTAACACTTTGATCAAAATAGAGAGAAAGAACAGATGAGTGAACTGGGCATGCAACTTTAAAAATTAGGGATAGAAACAGGGACTAAACCTACAGTTTTTTTAATATGGGTAACCTCAAGATGAGGAAACTCTCACTGCCAATGCAGGAAGGAAGGCATCTTTTCATCTTAAAAAGTGCCCAGAGTACTGAAAAGTCAAGAAATTTGAATAGAATATATAAAATAAATTATTAAAAACTATTTTGCTCAATTATATGCCAATAAAATTGATAACAAGTGAAACAGATGAATATTTACAAAAATATAAACCATCTGGATTAAATGAACAAAAATAATGAATTTAAATAACTCAATCTCAGAAGAAAAAAAAAACTAAACAAGCCATAATGGGGAAAAATGGATTTACAAACAAATTCTATCAAGCATTCCATGAAATATTAATTCTAATATTATTAATTTGTTTGCCAAAGTAGGAAAAATGGAATCCTTATAAACTCCTTCTATGATACATATAGGATCCTGATATCTAACCTAGTAGGGAAGGAAACCTATAGACTATTATCTCCAATGAATATCAATATAAAAATATTGAATAAAATATTAGCAAAGAGGTTACAACATATTAAAAAGATAGTAAATTATAACCACACCAGATTTACACCAAGAATGTAGGACTGCTTCAATATTATGAAAACTATAACCAGATCATATTAATAATAAAAAAATAATAATCATCATGATACTATTAACAGAAGCTTTGGACAAAAATACAATAACCTTTTATCTAAAGAAAAAACATAAACATAAAACATAAATGGATTGCTAAAGTTAATTTACAGTTTTAATGCTATGCCAAACAAATTATCAAAGGCCCCAAAGATGAGATGAGAAGATGCACCCTCTACTCCTTTGCAGAACATCACATTGTTTTCAGATTTTTTTCAATGTATTGATTACCCTTTGCTGATTCTTTTATCTTCATCCTCTTTTTTTTTTCTTTTAAAACATTCTCTGTTAGATGGCTCTCTGGGAGGGGGAAAGCACCATATTATTTGAAATAGTTCAATTATTTGATATAGTTCTAGAAACTTCTAGAACTCTATAAAATAAGATTCATTTGGAAATCAAAATATCTAGAATATCAAGGGAAATAATGAAAAAAAAGGTAAAAAGGCAGAGGGAATGGCATTTCCAGACCTTAAACTATATTATAAATCAGCAGCAATCAAAGACTAGATAGACAAGGGAGAATCAGAAATAACCTGAATTTGATAAGCCAGGAAACAAGTTACCTTGGAAAGAACTCCCTGTCTGCTATGAGCTACTGGGAAAACTGCAAAGCAAGCTGGCTGAAGCGAGTCTTAGACCAACCTTAGAGCAAATACCATATTTCCCACTGAATTCACACTGAGTATATGACCTGAACACTCAAGGATGCTGTCATGATGAAGAGAAGTGGACCATATGCCTTCCACATCCATGGATAAGACATAGATTGGGATGCCAAAAAGGGATAAATGCAACACAAAAGAATAAAGATAATTTTGATTACATGAGATTGAAAAACTTCTAAACAAACAAAATGAACGCATCTAGGATAGGGAGAGAAGCAGCCAAAGGAGAAAAAGTTTATATCAAGTTTCGCAGATAAGGGTTTGCTATGCAAGATATAGACAACTAACACACATGTGTAATGGAATACAACTGTGCTGTGAGAAATAACTATGTGACACACACAGAGAAACCTGGAAAGATCTACATGAACTGATGCAGAGCGAAGTCAGCAGAGCCAAGAAAACAAGCTACACAATAACTACAACAATGTTAATGGAAAGAACAAACCACAGAACAATCAAAAGTGAATGTTGGGAAATTACAAAGAATAAGCTTGGCCCCAAAGATGAGATGAGAAGATGCACCCTCTACTCCTTTGCAGAACATCACATTGTTTTCAGATTTTTTCAATGTATTGATTACCCTTTGCTGATTCTTTTATCTTCATCCTCTTTTTTTTTCTTTTAAAACATTCTGTTAGATGGCTCTCTGGGAGGGGGAAAGCACCATATTATTTGAAATAGTTCAATTATTTGATATAGTTCTAGAAATGCTAGCTCTAGCAATGAGACAAGAGAAAGAAATTGAGAGAATAAATATAGACAAAGAGGAAACAAAATGATCACATTTTGCAGATGATATGATTTAAAAAAAAACCTAAAGCATAACTAAAAAGTTAATTGAAATAACTTCAGTAAAGTAACGAAATATAAAATAAAGTCACAAAAATCATCAACCTTTCTGTATATTACCAAGACAGCCCAGAAGAAGAGCTAGAAAAATAAAATTCCATTCAAAATACCTCTACGTCGTATAAAATATCTGGGAGTTCCTCTACTAAGACATACTGAGGAATTATATTAATACAACTACAAAACACTCTTTTCAGAAAAAAATACAAATAACTGGGAAAATACTAATTAAACATAGTTGGGCCATGCTAATATAATAAAAATGACAATAATCCCTAAACAGCTTTACAGATTCAGTGGCATGCTAATCAAACTACCAAAGGGCTATTAAATAGAATAAGGAAAAATAATTTAAAGTTTCATCTAGAAGAACAAGTCAAGAGAAATCATGAAAAAAAGTGAGCACAGGACAAAATGTTCTGTTAAGGCAGCCAAGGGTGGGGAGGCAGGTCATCACTGATGGAGGTTTTGGTTGTCACTGGTGTTGTTTTTTTAAACCTGACCAACTGGTTTATTTATAGATTCTTTTTTTAAAGTATATAATCAGTTCAACATAATGGGTACAAAGTTGAACTGCTCGTCTGTGTCGCCCTCCACACTTCTTCCTTCTTTCTGTTCAATCTCTTCTCTGTATTTCGTTAAGGCCTTTTACTTTGTTCTTTTTTCTGACTTTGCCATCACTATCATCACTAGTTCTCCCACTCCCCCTCAATTTCCCCCTCCCCTTGCCCCAAATCTGAAGACTCAAGCAAACAAATTTCCCAACTGGTCATGTCACAAAATGCACATCTCACTCTGCTTCACTCATGCTTCACCCTGGTTCCTCTGGAGACAGGCTTGGTCATAGTTTGATCAGAGTTGTTTTTCCTTACGGTGTCATTGTCTTTGGATCAATGGTTCTTGGGATTCTGCTCACTTTATTCTGGTTCAATTCACATGTCTTCCAAGGTTTTTCTGAATCCATCTCTTTCTTCATTTCTTACTGCCCAAGAATATCCATTAATTCAGAAACATAAAAGGTATTTAATAAGTATTTTTTTTTATTATTTAGACATTTGAGGTTACAGAGAGCCAAGAGTCAGCCAGCAAGGTAATTGTAATAAATGATCATCAGTCTTGGAGAAAAGATCCTTTAGCTGGAGGAATCATGGAGGATGTGTGACTATGAGTCCCCGTCATTCCTTGTCATTCATGGTTGCCCTATCTATTGGTTTGTTTAATTGTTTTTCTTTATTACAAGGAAAGTCTCACTGTTGTTAGAGAGAAAGGGAATGGTATAAAGTACAGCTCTACGTCTACATCAACAGGGAAAAATAGGGGTGAGGGCTTCCAGGAGAATGATGGACATTTGCCACCACTGCAAGAAGCATAAGAGGGAAGGACCAAGAAGTGAAAATGAGGGCTGAGCCAACATCATCAAAATGACGACACTCCCTAAATAAATTTCCTTATTTCGTGCCATAACAATCAAACTACCAAAGAATTACTTGAAAGAGGCATCAAACACACAGTCCTACTGAATCAGATTAAAATGTAACTGGGAAATATTTCACAAAGAAAATAAAAATACAATAAAACCTAGGTAACATTACATTTTAAAACCAAGTCAATATGTGGCCAAAAACAATCGTTATGTATGGATTAGTGGCCCCCATTTCTTACTTGAGTTTGACAACAAAGTAATAACAAAATTCATCGGAAGGAACAAAAAGTCAAGAATGTCAAATGGAATAATGAAAAAAAAAACGGGAAGGGAATTTAGCAGAACCAGATCTCATATACAAAGCTGTAACTGTTAAAACAATTTGGTAAGAAATAGAGAGATTAATCGGCAGACCAGATTAGGTACTGAACATAAAATAAACCCAAGAACTTGGCTCCTTTTTTTGGGGGGGGGTGCATCTCACTACCTGACAAAATCTGCAATCTCTAGAGCCATATGAGAACATGTTCCAACTCACTAATAATTAGAGAAATGCAAATTAAAATAATTCTGAGGCCTATCTCATACCAATCAGATTAGCAAAGCTGATGAAAAAGAGAAAATGACAAATGTTGGGGGGGCTGTGGGAAACAGGCATGTCGGGGGCAGCTAGGTGGCGCAGTGGATAGAGCCCCAGCCTTGGAGTCAGGAAGACCTGAGTTCAAATCCAGCCTCAGACACTTGACGCTTACTAGTTGTGTAAGCCTGGGCAAGTCATTTAACCCCAATTGCCTCATCGAAAACAAAAACAAATAAACAAACAAACAAAAAAAAGGAGAATAACTTGATTTTTACTAGCTAGCTGTATGACCCTGGGCAAGTCACTTAACCCCCATTGCCTCAAAAACGAACACACACACACACACACACACACATGAAATAGGCATGTTGATGAACTGTTGGTGGAGCTATGAACTGGTTAAGCCATTCTAGAAGGTAATTTGGAACTCTGCCTCCCCAATTACTAAATTGTGAATGCTCTTTGACTCAGTGATAACATTTCCAGGTCTATACCCCAAAGAAATTTTTTAAAAAAGAGGAAAAGAATCCATTTGTACAAAAAAATATTTATGGCAATTCTTTCTGTAGTAGCGAAGAGCTGGAAACTGAGGGGATGCCCATCAATTAAGGAATGGCTGAACAAGTTGTGGTATTATGACTGTGATGGAATACTATTGTGCTATAAGAAAGATGAAAGGGATGGTTTCAGAAAAGCCTGGGAAGACCTGTATGAACTGATACAAAATAAAGTGGGCAGAACCCACTTTAGGAGAATAATTTGTAAAATAACAATAAAATTGTAAAGATAATCAACCTTGAAAGACTTAGGGACTCTGATCAACACAATGACCAACCACAGTTCCAAACTGATGCAGAGGTAAATGAGCAGAAGCAAAAGAATAACTTCTAGAATACTGACAACATTGTCAAAACAAATGACTGTTAAAGACTTAGGGAGTCTGATCAACACAATGATTTGGCATGACTCCAGAGGACTAATGATGAAACATGTTGCCCACCTTCTCCCAAAGAGGTGAAGGTTCAGAGAGCAGACAGGGACAGACATTTTGGGATGTGGCCAATGTGGAGATTTGTTTTGCCTGTGCTTATATGATACAGTATTCTGCACTTCTTTCCATTTCAGTGAGCAGGGGGAGGTGGGAGGAGGAAAAGAAATGCTTTATAACTTAAAAAAAAAATGCCCACCTGAAACCTTCTGATGCAATTCTCGAGAGCAGGCCAGCTCTACACAATGGTGTGACTGGCATTGAAGGACTAACTAAGCCTACTAATGAAGAGAGCAGAATAGGTGTTTCTTCTTGTCTAAACAGGGATGTGAGAACATCCCAGAAGCATACAAAAGGTGTCAACCCCTGACCATGGACACTGAGAAATCCAGTGAAGAAAGAAGAGGAGGACAACCCAAAGTGAAACTCTCTTGTACTGTGTCTACTAGCTCCAAGAGCTCTGCTAACATTGGGGTTCAGCACACTCTTTAGCTTCCAACCTTGGCTCATATGCTCCCCCTTCAACCTCCAACATACCTGGGACCCAGAGACAGGAGCAAAAGGGTTAGTGGTCCTTAAGCCTGGCTGTGTATAAATCAAGGGCTGGGGAGCCATGAGGGGGACTGCTCCCAGTGGAGTCTGTACCTATGAGTTGGAAAGGACAAAAAGGAAACGTGAATCAGTACTGGGGAAAAGGTGCATTGAACAGTTCTCCCAATAAAATATACAATGTCAAGAAAAACAACAGTACATCTCCCACAAACCACATGCTGTATACCAAGTTGGTAGACATATGATACAAACCAAATATCCCATCTTCTAAATTTAAGGAGAAACAAAGAAAAAGAAGAAACCACCAGCTGGTAAAATACACTGTTTAAAAAGTCAACTTATGGAGAAAAACAATTTAGATAATATACACCAATAACCTAACTCCCTCCTAATTGCCACTTCTGGCAACGGGTTTGCAGGCAAGACCCCTAAATTCATAGCCTGCCTCCAACAGAAGCTACAGGCAATATCCTTAATCTCAAATTTTCTCAACTGTCAAGTCAGGAGAATAATACTCAGATCACCACCTCAAGGGCAGAGACAGTTTCACTAAGGCAGCTAGGTGGCATGGTATGCAGGACCTGCAAATCAGCAAGACATACGTTCAAATTTGGCCCCAGACACTTGCTAGCTGCATAACAAGCTTCAGGACAAGTCACTTTGCCACTGTCTGACTCAGGTTCCCCATTTGTGAAATAAGGATGAAAATAGCAGCTCCCTCCCAGGGTCATTTGTGAGGATCAAATGAGATGATAATTGTAAAGCACTTTGCAAACCTTTAAATGTTAGATAAAGGCTGGTCATCATTAGTATTGCTTTTGTATCCCCAACAGCCTAGCACAGAATGGGTGCTTGCTAAATGCTGCTTAAATTGAACCCCAGCCTCCCAGGGCTGTTGGGAGGCAAGTACTTTGTTAACTGTGAAGCACCAGCTAGAGAAATGGGAGGAAGTAGGAGTGGTCCTGGGCTGCCATCTTGAATTTCTCCCTTTTGGCCCCTCTAACCAAGCAATCACCTGGTCCCCCCCAATGCAGTTCAGTGTGCAAGATCACAAAAGCCATAAATAACCTAGTGCGGAAAAAGCAGGTAAGGCGAAACAAAGAAACCAAGTAGACCAGAAACCTTTGAAAAGAGATGTGCCAGGCTGGCCAAGTAAACCAAGAGCCAGTCAACTCTCTCTTATCAGCACATGCCTTGTCCACATAGTAACTACTCCCAAGCAAAGGCCCCCAGGCATCTCTGCCTGAGGACCTGTTCTCATGTCTGGCTTTCTCTGATATCCATCTACTCTGTCTGGTGGTTTTCTTGGTGGGCTATAGCTTCTTTGCTAATGCCATTTACTGCTTTAACCCATTACTTAAGATGAAAAAAAAAAGAGAAAGAGTTCTCCATGTCCAGTTGTGGTCCTTGAGAGGCAGGAGGGAACCAAGGTTTGCTTTTTGCTTCTGAGGCCCTGACACTGAACAGAGCCCACTTTTCCAAGTATCCAGCTGAGTGCAGAGGACACAAAAATAATCAGCCAAGCTGGGCTAACCCTCTTCTCTCCTTCCACATGAAAAGATTCGAGGTTTATTAAATGAACAGATTGTACACAGTCATATTTTGGCATAAAGTGAGGAAACGGAAAGGTATTATTCAGAGGAAAGATAAACGAGAGTGTTTAAATTCCTCATATCTCAGTCCTTAAACTCTGTGGAGGCCTCCCCAATCCAGCATTATCCACTGTTAGGACTCAGGGGCTACCGTGGGGGAAAGCAATGTCCCTGGCACCTTGATTTTTTATCTTGTGTTGTTTCGGGGGGCCCCTACCCCCATTAGTGCCAATAAATGGTCTCAGATCTACTTCTCTTACGCTCAAGCTAGTGGACGTCTTACCATGCCATATACAGGCAGCTGATGTGTAGTTACTGGATAGGATATAGGGACAGGCACCTGAAATAATGACAAAAAAAAGTCTGTAACATTATATATACTTCATTTGATTAACATTAATGAGGTGACAGGAAATGAAAAATGTATTCTAGGACTTTCCTTTTTTGGGGGGAGAAGGGGTGCTGTGATTTCACTGGTGGAGGGAACTTCCAATATGAAAATGATCTTCACCATTAGAGCCTGGCACATAATGTAACTTCTAGAGAGTCTCCTGGGGTCCTGATCACCACGTGTCCATGGTCACAGAGCTAGGAACAGCAGGACTCGAACCCAGGCCTTCTTGATTCTCTACTATATGAGTGCCTGCCAATACTAAAAGATCACATTTCTAAGAAGACCTACACCCAGGTTAATAATGGTCTCTGTTTAGGCATTAGGATTTTCAGAAAAGAGAGGGCTGATACAGCTTACAGAGTACCCTGCCACAGTCTCAATTCTTGACTCAATTCTCTCTCGGGATCCAGGCCCAAAGCACTTTCCTCACAATAACCCTTCTACACCAACCTCTAGCGAGAGGGAAGCCATTCCTTCTGGAAACTGCCCATCACACTCTGGACCCATTCTAAGTCATAGGAGAGACTGTCCTATCTGTCCCTGCAGCTTGTCTCACTGCTCCCTGTTTGATCCTCTGGGCCCAAAAGGGGTAAACTGAGTTCCTCCTTCACATAGCAGCTCTCCAAATACTTGAAGATAGCTATTATGTGTCTCCTCCAGTCAACTTCTCCAGGCTAAACATCTTCAGATGTCATGGAGAATAAGTAGGTTTGAAGAGAAAGTAATTGACTTTACACAAGTGACAGACTTCCTAAAAACCGTAACAGACCAAACAGAAACTAATGATTCCAAGGAACAGCAATACATAGTAAAACAAAATTAAAAAGTAAGCTGATATCAAAAATAACTGATCTGGAAAACAGGTCAAGGAGAGATAATTTAAGAATCACTGGACTTCTTGAAAACTATGATTTAAAAAGAAACACAAACTCCCGGACACTATATTATAAGAAATCATAAAAGGAAACTGTCCACATCTATTAGAACCAGAGAACAAAGTGACGCTAGGAAGAATCTGCTGATCCCCTCCTGAAAGAAAACCCAAAAAGAAAAGTCCTCAAAAGGAATGATATGGCCCAAATCCAGAGCTCCCTTGTCAAAGAAAAAATGTTGCAAGCATTGAGAAAGAAGCAGTTCAAATAACAAGGAACCACAGGCAAGATCACACAAGACCTGGCAGGTTCTACAATAAACGAGAAGAGATCTTGGACTGTGATATTCTGAGAGACAAAAAATATGGGCTTACCGCCAAGAATAGTTTATCTGCAAAATTGAACATAATCCTACAGGGAAAAAAATAGATCTTTAATGGAACAGAGGACTTTCAATTATTTCTTATGAAAAGATTAGAACTGAGTAGGAATTTTGAAATACAAATACAAGAGCCCAGAGAAATCTAGAAAAGTAAATTTATTTGAGCAATTGGAAGGAGCTGTATGAAGTGGTGCTAACATTGTCCTAGAGCTGGTGGGGGCGGTGTGGAAGGAGAAAAGAAGTATCTCTTCAGAACCTTAATGTCTTCAGAGGGATTTGAGGGAATTAAATAAGAAAAACAGTGGATCTGGGAGCAAGGTACATTGGTTCTATTCCAAGGGTTGGAAGAAAGGAAAAAGAAGAGAGAGAAAAAAGAGGAATACACCAGTGTAGAAAGGAGAAAGAAGGGATAGAACTTACTATTTCTCATCATTGGGATGGATGAGAATATAGAAACATGGAAGAAAGGGTGGAAGAGTGGGCATCAGATGAGCTTCACTAATCTGAAATTGACAAAGGAGGCTTGCAAACACACACACAAACAGCTTGGTGTAGAAATATAAGATTACTTGCATTCCATCTTCTTAGATAGAATGTACAACCTAATGTAGTAGCTTGTCAAGATCTTTGGGGATACTCTGTCATCCAAGTACCAGTTATCCCACTCAGCTGTGTCATCTGCCAAGTTACTGACACAATTGGTGAATATTGCAGTGCCAACCAACAGCAGAGCCTACAAGACTACCTTCCAAGCTGCCATCCATTCATTAACAGTTCCTCTTTGGGGATGGTCATTCAACCAATTCTGCGGTAACCACTTGAGTATTCTCTCATCTAACACTTGACAAAGTCTCTCAGGTCATCATTGTGAGAAAGATGGGAGATGAATACATGCTCCAACTCATCATTACAACATCAATGGAAAAGGAAAGCATGTTTAAAAAATGTCTTTCATGACCCACTTATTCTCCCCTGGCCATGCTCACAACCTGTGTCCTAGTACGTGGGATGAATAAGTAAAACAAAACAAAAACAAGTGTGTGCTTGTGTGGGGAGCAGCTATTACCATATGTGGAACAGAAGAGATGGCAGCAGGACTCCAACTGGTTGATGTGCTAGTCTTCACCTGCCAGTTCATTCCTCCTGTCATTTTCTTCTCAGGGGGCTGATTCCATTGTATGTCAGATCTAAAATGAGATGTATTAGTGAACCTTTTCACATAGCAGCCCTTGTCACAATGAGGAAACGAGCTGAAAATCCAAGCAATCACCTATTAAGCAGCTGTTGCATGCTGAGCCCTGAGTAGGATGCAAAATATAGATGACAAAAGGTATTCACACACACACATACAAATAACTATTCAAAAGAGACACTAAGTCTAAAAGAGAGGTACAAATCAAGTGAGATCCAAGGGGTTAAGGGGGAAGCCCTCCCTCCTGGCCTCTTTCTGTCACAATCCTCCTCATCCCACAAGGCTCAGCTCAGGCGCTATCCTTTTGGCAGCCCTCCCTGATCTATATGTTGGAAAGTATTCTCCCCAGTCCCTCAAAGAGTCCTAGAGCCCTCGGGCCAGATCTCTCTTTGGCCCCCATCATCTCCCTACCATTTATTTACTTACCAGTCTGCATGTCATATATCCAACCAAAAGAATATTATTTGTTCCCCAAGGCCAGGGGCTGCCCAGAGATAGTTTCTGGGAGCCGCTCTGCCTATACCATTCACCTGCCTAAAGCCTGCTTCCAAAGGAGGAACTTCCTGGCATGACAGCAGTCCCCCTAGCTTATAATCAGGTACCATTAGCCCCTTTCTTTGTCCAGGGAGGGAGAACCCAGAAAGAGACCCAATCAAGCCTTCACAAAAGTCACTTCAAAAATATTGCTAGGGCCAGATTCTTCTACTTAAGATCACAGATTTAAAGCTGGAAGACCTGAGTTCAAATCTGATGTCAGACACTCACTAGCTATGTGACCCTGACTCTGGGAGAGTCACTGAACTGACATCATTTTGTGATAGCGTCATTAAGAGAAGATTCTATGCCATCAGAGTGTCATCAAACTTTGTGATATCTATTGAGTGATATTCACATTCACAGCCCAGGGTTCCTTGATTTGGCTACTCTGCTCAACTGGCCCCAGTTCAGCCCAGCCTAGTCATGGCCTGAGCAGCATCCCCTTCACCCCCCCACATCATCCCTGGGGCCAAACTGCTCCCTGTATTTAGGTTTTGCCTAATGTCGCATGTTTGTGAAGCCCACGTTAGATAGGCCATACCAGTGTGTATGCACCTCAAGAGAGAGAACACTGTCCCCCTCCTCTAGGCTGGCTCTCCAGAGGCTTTCCTTTCATTTTCCTCATTCATGTACTTAGCACGGTAGCACGGGAAGCTCAAGAAGCTGTCCAGAGGAAGAAGGGGGAGGAGAAGAAACAACTGTGTGGATGGAGGATGATGGAAGAGGGAGAGCTGGGACACTAAAGGATACCATACAATGATGGGGCAGTCAGGCTGAGGATGGGCTGGGCTGAGCAGAAGAGCCAAATCATAGGACCCTGGGCTGGTCAGTCTTGACCAACTGAGCAAAGAATGAGGAATATTACAGTGGAGTTTGGCTACACTAAAGATAGCAAATGATCACAAGAACCCTAGAAGATTATTGCAAAATGAAGCTATTTGGGGGCAATGGTGTGTAGGTGATGGATGGATGGATGGATGGATGGATGGAAAAGTGCCACTGGAATAACACTGGTCTGGGAGGTGGAAGCACTGGGTTCAAGTCTCAGCTGGGCCACAGGCAACCTCTGGGACCTGGGTTCAATCACTTGGCCTTTCTGGTCCTCATGTGATGTCCTACCCTATGAGGTCCTTTCAGCTCTAAATCGATGGTCTTCAGCTATTTAAGTGCTCATCACCTGAGATAAGTTTAAAACTTTCAGCTGCCCTCCCACAATGCCACCTGCCTGCAGGACTCCGTTCTTTAGCTCCTGGGCAGGGGGCCCCATTCATGGCAGTGTCTTAGACCCAAGTCGAGGACTTTTAACAAGTGATTCTGGGACTGAACTTGTAACAAGCTTTAAGTTTCTTTAGCCTCTCCTCCAACACTGAACTATTAGCTACCCTTTTTCAAAAAATAACTTACTTTTTGGGGCTTGCTCCGAAGTCAAGATCTGTTTTAATAAAACAAAACAAAAGAAAGTGCATCACTTTTCTTTAAAGTGCAGCTAGAAGGTGCCACAATGGGTAGCCATGGAGCACTAGGCTAGGAGGCTGGAAGATCTGAGTTCAAGTCTAGCCTCAGATACTTCCTAGCTGTGTGACCCTGGGCAAGTCACTTCACCTCATATATACACATATATACATATATATGTATATGTGTATACTCACACATAAAATTTTCCTTATCTAGCAGTCCATTATGTATAAATATGTATACACACACACACACATATATACACGTGCATGCACGTACACATACATGTTATACATAAATTTTCCTGATCTAGTTAGTCTAGTAGTAGTAACACTCTAAAGAAAAAAAGAGGAACAGCTAGGTTGCGCAGTGGATAGAGCACCGGCCAAGTCAGAAGGACCTGAGTTCAAATCCGGCCTCAGACACACAACACTTACTAGCTGTGTGACTCTGAACAAGTCACTTAACCTCAATTGCCCTCAAAAAAGAAAAAAAGAAAAAAAGAAATGAGGTTAGTTGAAGTTACTCTTAATGTGTATGGAGTGGGGGGGGG